TTTCAAGAACATCATGGCATATTTGTGAGCCATTGCGTATACTCCAACAAATAAGAGAATCCCCTAACTGTATGATAAGATTTATATGCTAAATGGCTTAATACCATTGCTCCAGTAATAAAAGTCATCAGAAATCCACAGTTGTAATAGAAAGCATGGCTTGGTTATACAAATTGCAAGGTACATGGATTTATGACATCAATTTATTCTCCCATCGCCTTGCATGCCATTAGCAATACAAGAACAATAAAAGTTAGACGAATCTTCAAGTTTGTAGTAACTAATGGGTGAGCATTCACCCCCGGTAAAAAAGTCTAAAGCTAACTCAGACATAGAATAATAGACAATGCAAACTATAGGGGGAGGGGAATTCGGGTTTCAAATACTCACCCTCCTATCATTCTTTGCGTGTGATTGACGATGAAAGAATCGATGACAGAAAATTATGGATGTTGCAATTGTCAACTGGGGTCTGCATAACAAATTATTCAGGATCTTCATCATGCTGAACCAATGAGTCAAAACAAGATAAAAGATATATATAAACATACTATATAGTAGGATATTGGCAGTAATAATTCCAGTGGTTAACATGAGGATTTCATCAAACCTACAGGGCTATTGAGTAAGATTCAACTCAAAGTTAATTCTGTTTTCAAAATTACCATTTAGAAGGGACTAAGAGCATGCTGGCTACCTTCAGTGCTGATGACTAGTTTTTTCAAAACATATATGAATATGTCTATGTCTAAACTTACATGCATAATAACCTCTTCTGACTTTTAAAAGAATAACACGTCTCTTTTGTCAGGTAACTGTATGAATTGGATATGTGTTCAATTAGATTTTTTCCCCTCATAAGACTTAAATAATCCTAATTCAATTCATACACAAATCAGGATTAAAGAAAGCATTCAAACATAGTACGTTCCTAAGGTAAGAATGCTCTCATATCACCCAATGTTGGGTTTTTTCCAGCCCATGATAAGTTGTCCTACGTCTATAAGGAATTATAGTCTTAGAGGATTAAATTGTTTTCCCAATTGGAGTTAGTTTCTCAATTGGAGAAGGTTTCATAACTAGATTCCAATTAGGATTAGTAATCCTTATTGAAGAAGACCTTTATCATGTCCATATAAAGGGGCTATTCTGCTAGTTTTGAGGAGGGAGCAAAGCAATAAATTGTATACCAATCAAGGGATTAGAGTGAGAGAATATTGTAAAGTGTGTGCGAGAGAAAAGAAAAGAGATAGTATATTTCTTGTTCTTGTTCTTTCAAGTTTTTCGTCAAGTCCTAGTTCTAGAGATTTGGCAAGATTATTGGTTGTACTCATTATTGATATAGTGAAAGATTGTTGTTGCTGTCCCGTGGACGTAGGCACATATTGCCGAACCATGTAAATTCTTGGTGTTATTTACCTTGGTTATTTGTTTTTCGATTTCCGGAGTTTTGTTCTTGTTTTTCCCATTCTTAAACGCGATATTCTCAACACCCAAAAGTTCATCCTCAATCTGAACTGCATTTCAAATGGGTTATGCTTTTGCATTTTGCATTTGAAACTACCCCATCATCCACTCGTTAAGTTCCAAGAAAACATGATTCTGCTTCTTCTTCTACTTTTAATTCATTAGGTGCTCTACAAAGCACTAGGGAATTCTTTCCTAAAGCAACTAATGCTTTGAAATTTTTATTAGACACATGCACCATCATGTTATATCACTATTATCAATTAAACCCATTGATACAGTATATATACTGCACTATCACTTCTAGAATAACATTTAAACAATACACTTATCTATGTATACATAACCATTAACAAATACTTATTCAATCCGTTTGTCACAAAAGTCTCCTTTATACTGCACAGCTACTTTTTTTTTTTTTGTTCGATAGAAGGTTTAGTAGCTATAGCGTGGGGAATGTTCGAGTTTATAGAGTAAGGTTTTGCATTTCTTAGCGGGTTTAAGTGATTTAGACCTCTAAATCCCCTAAGACTAAACCCTAAACTCTAAGCCCTAAACAATATCAAATAATGAAATAAAAAGAAAATCAATTGAGTTACATAGATTTATTCTTAGTTTAAGATTAAAAACATACTACTAAAGATGGAATAACAACTGACAGAAATTTGATTGGTTGAGACAAAGGAAAAGTGAAAACAAATAAGAGATAATGCTCAAAAACTCACACTTTAAGTCTAATACCCAAATCTTGTAGAAAAGAACAGTATGACTTGCGTAAATATGTCTCTTTCTTCAAGTCAATGCCGTCTCGTCTAGATGGAGAATTTTCTTCAATTTCCTTTCTGTAGAAGTACCAACAGGATCCTTCCTCTATCCTGTCCTGAATGTCTTTAAGATGAGTGGCTTCAGCAGGGGAAAAACTAGCCATATGTATCCCAGCTCACCAAATTAAAATTAAAATGATATAACAACTTCTGTTGTTGAAAACTGTAAAGACTATATCACCAAAGTCCACCAGATTCCTGTTCATGGATTACCAAAATGGGTCAGAAAGACTATATGAAATAAGATAAAACAAAATAAATAAAAGTAGTTGTAATCACAAAGTTGAAAATGAAAAATAAACTAAAATAGGCTGTACACATAGATAAGAAAACCAGACACATTTTCCCCCCGCATATTCTACTTTGTTCACCACATCTCCTACAAAAACAAGCATTCTAGCTCTTTCCCCACAGTTTAAAGTTTTGCTTCCATTTCAGTGGAATTTGCATATGGAGACTGAAGTTTCTATTTCTCTTTTACTCTCGCATAATGATGCATATTGGTCAAATTTGGTGTTTTCTGGTCAAAACCAAAATGATAACAACAAATGTCACAATCTAAATATTCAACAGAAAATCATAATCCTTCATTGATTTATTCAATGCTGCCCCTATTGCAAGACAATTTGAAGCGACAAATGTCTAGAGTTCTTCCAATCCTTCTCAAGTCCTTCAAAAGCTATCTATCTGTATACACTAGTGGAAAACAATGTAGTGCACAACATGAACCATCTCTATCAAAAGCCACCATTTTCTCGAATTCACCGCACCCTTACAATGCACGAGACAAGAAGAACCACTATCGCTCATAATTGAACCATAAAAACAATATCATATTTCTATCTCGGAAATAGTACCAAGCTTCTTATCAGAAGTTTGAAAACAAAAGAATAACAAAATTGTGCATGCAGGAATTCTAAAGATCTAGACAACTTAACAACTTAGCTACCTCAATCGTTGCAAAACATAATTTGTACACAAGTGAAGTGAATGGTGTCCTTGTTATTTCTTTGGTTACATGAAAGTCGAAAACTCCAAAAATTAAGCAAAACCCATCTTATGAGTATAATCAAAATTACAGCTATCAAACTGCACAAAATATAAATATAACGCCAGCCAACGAAAATTAGAACACACACACACACACACATACGTATATTCTTCCCCATTTAATCCATAAATCCACCCTCGCTTCTTTTCTGCAGCCTATTTTTCCAAATTGAATTAAGATAAACAGAGGATTATCCCAAAACCCCAAACTTCCAGAGACTACAAAAAGAAGTACCGATACAGATAATTCAAACCAAACAAACAAAACCCAATATTTGGTTTGTGTTTTTACGATTTCGAATGAGCTAATTTACGTAAACAATCTCAAAAGGGCTCGAAGAATTCGAAGAGCAGGAAAGTTCGAATGCAGAAGCTAAAAGCACGAAACCGAAGCTAGGAGAAGTTAACGTTACCTGTGAATAGACGAAGACGGCAGCACTAGGGCAAAATCCTACCCAATCTTCCCAATTTGGATTTTAGGGTTTATGCAGTGCAGACTTCTTTTCATAATTTGCGATTTTTCAATAATTCTTTTGCGACCAATACAAAAAATAAACCAATTTCTTTTGCGATTTTTCTGATTGGCATTGTACCGTTGCCACGTCAGATGCGTGAGATCTCTCATCCGATGGGTTCTCCTTGCTTGAATTAAGTAACACGTGTTCTATTTTTGTCATTTTCTTTGTTCTTTAATATGGTTTCTAAAAATCTCTAAAAAAAAATGTGATTTTTTAAATATTAGTTTTTATACGAACGTGACAATTCAAAGAATGTTGAGGGTATAAAGATGTGAGCCAAAACATTCACGTTCCCTATTTCTAAGTTACTGAGAATTGCGTTCAAAGCATTTCAACGGAAAAGTAAGTTTTATACTGTTGTTGATCCATTACCTTTAGGGTAGTGCGATCCACACACCTACTTCTATGTTTCACACAATTCTCTTAATTTTTTACCGTCAAAACGAAATAAATTGAAGAAGATTAATGAAAAAATTAACAAATGTATATGAAACGTAAAAATAGATCCTACCTTTGAAGATTGTAATATTTACAAAAAGAAAACAAGATCATAATACAAAATTAAGGGCACATCTACCTCTCATTAAGGTCGTTATTTAACTTAAGGGATGCCTACAATACCTAAATTTGACTTATTTACAATCGTTTTAATATGACCAAATTACGTGAAATTGAAACTCCCTTACTAATTAAAACACAACGTTTCGTCTCATTTCATCTTCTCTCACATTTTAACAAAAATCAAATGTCATTTCAACTTTTTATCAGAACCACACTTTTCGCTTTCTCTCCATTTTTGAAGAGAGAACAGAGAAAATGTCTTCTTACTTTATCATTTAGTACGATTGCTTTTATTTGTATGTATTCAACGCCTTTTAAAGAATTTCTCCTTGTAATATATTTCAAAAAAATGACAAGAAAAAATATTCATACTGATTTTTTTTAATTGAATTAATTAAATTTATTCATTGAACTAATTAGTAATTTGGTGGTATTTTTCTTGTTAACACTGTAACCACTTATAGGGTTTGAACTCCTCACACACACGCACTCGTTTTGCCAGGTTGAATTCACGTGCCGGCAGCCACGCTCACGTGACACCATTAAATTTAAACAAATAAATAAAAAGTCAAAATCGCTGTCTCAGACTCTCCAGCTTTGTAAATCACCAATTCAAAATCTCCCCCAACCAAAACTCTCACTATCTCTCTCCGATTGATTTGCTGGTGGCAATAATAACAACCGAACACTGACCAGTTCTGTGAAATTTCCGGCGGATGATATTGGCTAGCGGAGGTGGAGGAGGACGCGATGGCGTCGGTGACGCCGGTGAACAGGATCGAGCGGGCCCACCGGATGTACCGGGAAGGTAGCTACTCGGAGGCGCTAGGGTTTTACACCGAAGCCCTGTCCATGGCCAGGACCAAACCCCAGAAGATCGCCCTCCGCAGCAACCGAGCTGCTTGCTTCTTGAAGCTCCACGATTTCAAAAAGGTTGGCGCTTTTTTTTCCCTCTTGCTGTACGAAATTGTGGATTTATCAAAATTTTGATCTCTACGAGTTGATTAGAGCAAGCAATTCGTATTTTCGAACGATGATTGCAATGGAAGTGTGGATATTGAGAGTTCAAGCCACGATTATTCAGCTGAAAATTGCGCAGTTTTCATAATTTTGATCTTAATGAGTTGATTATGGCAAGTAATTTGTGTTTTCTAATTACGAGTTCAGCTGAGAATCGCGTTCTGGATTCTCGATTTGATTTGCAGAAAGAAATATGGAATTGATGGTTGGAATAATGGATTTGTTGGTTGACTTCATTCGACTATATCTTAGGCCGCAGATGAATGTACCTCAGTTCTTGAGCTTGATTACAATCACACTGGAGCACTGATGTTGCGGGCGCAGACCCTGGTGACCCTCAAGGAATATCACTCAGCGCTCTTTGATGTTCATCGACTTATCGAGCTAAATCCATCATCGGAAGTTTATCAAAACCTTCAAGCCCGTCTAAAGACGCAAGTGGTATAATTCCCTTCTTCCTTCTGCTATTTTTTTTACACATTAATTGAATTTTCTTGTCTGGTAAAATAAATAAGAATCGAAGATTAGGGGTCTTTTGAGATTGATGCACAGGTTTGGTTGCCAGTTAGAGTAGATCGTTTTGCATTTGGCGTCTAAAACGCGAAAGAGAACTTTTGCCCCTACCCTTCCAACGAAATCTAGGTTTTTGTTCAGTGTCATTTGGGAGATTTTGTTGAATTATTAGCATCATAGTCATCATTGTATTTGCAATTATGAGCACCGCTGTTCCAAAAAAATTTACATTTATGAACATCACCATCAGCAGCAGCAGTGCAGTCGGTGCTGAAGTCATAAATTTGCAATTGTCATTTTCATGGCCGTGAGTAAAGAGTTCATTTTTTCTGCTTGAGGAAAGTTACTTGCTCCAATACCTGAATCCGAAGCAGAGCTAGAAGAAGAGGAAGACGAGGAGGAGGATGAAGTAGAGCCAGATAGATATCAGGAGAAAGAGGAGCAATACAAAGAAAAGAAGATGTATTTTCAGGTGCACGAAGGGATCAGATTCCTGAGGTTAATGAGACAACTGCTGTCGCCAATGTGATTCCCCCTAAGACACCAGTAAACAGGGAAGTTTCTCCACAGGGAAGGGATCCAAAAGGTAACTCGATAAAGACCACTTTCCCAGCTGAAGTTGTTGCCCCTCGTGCAGAGCACGTCAAGGCATCGTCTGAAAAAGAAAAAGACAAAGGATGGCAAGCAATCCCGAAACCAAAGGGACACTCTTCTCTGGACTATGCACGGTGGGACAGAGTGGAAGATGACTCTAGTGAAGATGATGATGATGACGATGACGATGAGGACTCTCAACCTCAGTATAGATTCCGTGTAAAAACTGTTGGTGTCCGGCCAGTGAAGTGAAGAGGAGGCTGAGGAGCATATACACAGTACTCAAGATCAATAGCCATCATATTTTTTTGCTACAACCAGCCACAAAGTACAAAATCACAGTGAAGTAAGCAGGACGGGAAAGTTGTGGTAGTTCCAAGTGCAGAAACTTTGTGAAGGCTATGAGAATCTAGCTTTGAAGTCCGGGCGTGCTTTGGCAGTGTATCATTTTAAGATAAAGGAGTCTGCATTTTAGCTCTTCGGCTCAAGTTGGATATCTTGACTCTGTGCGGTTCCTACTATGCTGCAATCTTCAAACGATTCATGCTGTTGCACAAAAATAAGCAGAGGCTCGGTCTGCAAACAGTTGAATTCCAACTTGTCCCCGCTGACTAGTGCTTGCAGGGTCAGGTAAAATTGTTGGTTATGTGATGTAATTACATACCTTTGTAAATTTTTACTGCAATGCTTGTAAGAAAATAATATATAGGTTTCCCAGATTGCTTCCATCTTAACGTAACTTGGCAACCTGAAAGATGATATAACTTCTACATTCAATTGTTCTTTACTGCATTCTGGTGTCTTATGCAGTGTGGAGTTGTAGATTACTAATCGAACGCTTAACGTCCAGTTTTGATTCTTTTCGGAAAAGAGAGAAATTTTGTGGAACTTGAGGCAGAACCCAAATAACAAGAAAACTCAACCCAAAAGGATCCGTACTAGATGTAATGTCACCACATTATTTTTTTTTTAGCAGATGGTTTCAATCGAGATTACTAATAACAAAGCAAGCCGTAAGAGCTGCAAAATTACAATAATATCAATACAATACCTTAAGAAGCAGCATCTACAACAAAATGCAATTTCATCCTCCTAATTTGAAGTAGTTTCATCAAGTACTGTCAAAGCTTGAGACAGAATGTCAGCTGCAACATCAAGCTCTTGCTCGGTTATGATCAATGGAGGCACGAGCCTCAGAACATTGCCTTTTCCAGCAGTCAGTATCAACAGGCCAGAGTTTCGACATGCATCCACAACTGGTGAGGCCGAGACATCCAATTCAATTCCGATAATAAGCCCGAGACCACGTATTTCTCGAACATGTGGGTTCCCTCCCAACTTCTGTTTTAAGATGTTTTTGAAATAGAGACCCTTCTTACTGACACTATTCAAAAACTTGCGATTGGATATTTTTTCAAGAACGGCAAGGGCAGCACTACAGATAAGAGGTGCACCGGCAAACGTACTTCCGTGGTCACCAAAAGCTATGGCGGAAGCAACTCTTTCAGTCATCAATGCAGCTCCGATGGGAAGTCCTCCAGCAAGTGGCTTAGCCAGTGTCATGATATCTGGGAATACACCGTAAGCCTCATGCGCCCAAAGATAGCCGGTTCGACCTAAACCACATTGAACCTACAAAAAAAGAAAGCATTGCTCTTAAACTTCATCGAAGAGAGCATTACTCAAACGTGAAACCCTTAACTTATTATACACCAAAAATGTCACAAGCCCCTCTGAAACAACTTTAAAAATACACTAACAAGTAAAAGCAACGACAAGAACAACTACCTATGTACTATGCAAAGTAAAATAGTATCGAGTGAAATCACTATACTGCACATGGTCATGTATTAAGGAAGATGAGCACAATCATGAAGTTTGGCATTTGAGAATTCGAAATTGTAACATCCACACTCCCTAATTTATAAAATCGTAACATAAAGAAGCAATGAGAGTAACATTGCCCGATATAAGAATTGGGAGTGTAGGAAGAATCCAATACAAGAAGATCAGATGCATTATGCGAGAATTCATATTTCATGTTGGAAAAGGGGGAAAAACAACACATTTACTAGTGAAATTTTCACGATGGCTCGAGGTCATAACGACCATTATCCAACGGATCAATGAAATCGAATCATCCAGTGCAATTACCATCCTACCAAACCAAGTCAGAACCATTTTGCATAAATCATAAAACTAAAGCGCTAATCTTAACAAGAGAAGCCAGCACAAAATACACCATGTAGTGTGTTCAAATAGGGCACAAACTGAAGATACAATGCAGCTGCTGCTTACCTCATCAAATACCAGAAGAGCACCGGCATCATCACAAGCAGTACGCAGAAACTGCAGAAACTCCTTTGAAGCACTGTAAATCCCCCCTTCACCCTGAATAGGCTCAACGAAAACAGCGGCAGTCTTTCCAGGCTGAATCAGTTCTTTGGTAGCCTGTATATTTCCATACTCCACAAACGTGACGCCAGGCATGACAGGCTCAAAAGGGGACCTGTAATGCTCTTTGCTAGTCAAGGCAAGAGCGCCCATGGTCCTCCCATGGAAGCTGTTTGTGAAAGATATGAAGCTCGTGGCCGGCTCTTTCGCATCAGGGTGAGCATGTCTCTGAAACTTCCTTGCAAATTTAATGGCTGCTTCGTTCGCTTCGGTTCCGGAATTCGTGAAAAACACACGGTCTGCAAAACTAGCACCCACCAGACGCTTTGCTAGCTCCACCTACATTACACCAACCAATTCCCATAAGTCCATAATCAAAGTAACGACGCCGTTTAGACGCAAAATGCAATCTTTCACATTTTTCCTACACTTTCTCGGCAACCAAGCGATACCCACAAGTCCAAAACCAGACTAACGACGCCGTTCATGCACACAATGCAACCTTTTACAATTTTCCCACACTTTCTCGGCAACCAAACAAGCAATATAATCCAAGTTAAGATAAGGGCAAACCTGAGGGATTGAATAGTAGAGATTGCTGACGTGAGTGAGGGTTCCGGCCTGATCAACCACAGCCTTTAACCAGTCCTCGTCGCCATGGCCGAGCGCGTTCACCGCGATCCCCGAGCTCAGGTCCAAATACTCTCGCCCCTCGGTGTCGTATAATTTACAACCTTTGCCGCTGGTGAGCACCACTGGAGTCCTCGCGTAGGTCTGCAGCAGGACCTTCGCCTCCGTCTCCATAACCTCCTTGCTCTTCAAAATATCTAGTTTTGAGGCGGTATTGGGTGCTTCCACGTCCACGCTGAGGCAGGCAGTGACCGGTCTCCGGCCGTTGATTAGTCGGACTTCCCCGCCTAAGTTGGGGCTGAATCGAAGGCGGAGATTGAGAGTCTGAGAAATGGTGTTTGGGGAAATGTGAAGGGAAGACATACTGGAGAGGATGGCGAAGGTGCGGAATCCGGGGGGGGGGGCGGGGGTGGTCGGCGGCGGAGGATGCTTGGCGTGGGAGAGAGGGTAGGAAAATGGGTCAGAAACTCAGAATCCCAATAGTAAAAGGCTAAATTAGATTTAAACGTCCAAAAAAGTTTTTTGTACCAGACATAAATGCTTTTTAGGATTTTGATTAAGATACTCAGCCCTCGTTTGGCACGTTGTATTAAGCATCTAATAAGATTAATAATACAGTAGCAGTTATTTGGTGCACTTTCGTACTAAATAAACATTTGCTTAATTATATCATCTATCAAATTTAGTACGATTGACACCGAACAATTAATACAACCCAAAAGCTTGGTATTATTAGTTGGCGCGCTAACCGAAAACACACTCGATTTCCCTCTTCGATTTCATTGATCTACTCCTTGGCGAATTCGCTCCATCTTCAAGAGCAATTCCTCGACAGGTTCTCAATGTCGACAGCCACTCCTTTGCAATCGATCGTCGCTTCCTGTTTCGTCACGTTTCAGCAGTCGATGTCAAAGCATGACGATGTGGACGAAGAGGTAGTTAAGGTCAAGAAGCCCGATTGATCGTCAACAACAACAGGCTTAGCAGCTCAGTCATCTTCCGCCCCCAACAGCGTTGGATCCAACTCCAATGGCTCCGGTTAAATTGGACCATGCCACGAATTAATTTGTAACATCTCACATCGTCTAAGGGTGTGGATCCTGTAAGCTTTATATGTATATTCTCATCTCTACCTAGCACGAGGCCTTTTGGGAGCTCACAGGCTTCCGAGTTCATTAGAACTCCGAAGTTAAGCGAGTTCGCGCGAGAGCAATCCCAGGATAGGTGACCCATTGGGAAGTTCTTGTGTGAGTTCCCATAAACAAAACCGTGAGGGTGTGGTAAGGGCCCAAAACGGACAATATCGTGCTACGACGGAGTCGAGCCCGGGATGTGGTGAGGACCCGGGCGGGGATGTGACAATTTGCTATTAGATGAACTACGTAGTTAAGCGAGTTCCCAAAAGGCCTCGTGCTAGGCAGAGATGAGAATATACATATAAGGCTTACAGGATCCACACCCTTGAGCGATGTGGGATGTTACAAATTTCTTTTCTTCATCAATTTGGATCTTCAATTTAATTAGTAGTTGTTTTGGTTGGTGAATCGATGTGGGTTTTGGGTGATTGAAGAAATGAGGAAGTGGGTTCGTATGGAAGGGTGGAATTTGAAGCGTGGGCAAGATGGTGAAGAAAGGAAGACACGCTGGGAAGAGTCCTGGGTTTTTCACCTTTCTTTTTTTCTAATTTTTTTTTAAAATTTTGTCTTAATGATGTTTAATTACTTTTTTTTCCTTCTGTTTTTCTCTCTTGTTTTCGTTTTAACAACAGTTATTATGTGATTTTTTTTAAAAAAATTATTATAGTCCGACGTATTATTTGATGGACAAATTAATCCGAAACAACAACAAACGCCTCAACTAATTTAGTTAGTATTATCCGACGATTATTTCTTCTATCCAACTGAAATAGTCAGTACAGTTTAAACTGCTAAACGAGAAAGCCACATCAACATGTCTTTATTTATTTAAAAATATTATTGTAATTTTCAAAATTAAAATTTATGTATTGGTTTCTTAATTTCTTCTTTAATTAATTGAACAATTTTTTTTGTCAATTTTTTTGAAGAATTGTTGTTATTGACACTTTAAAATTTTCAATTTATATTCTAAATTTTTTATAATTAGAAAGAAAAAAAATATTTGTGAAGAGTGTAGAATGAGATTTTCGAAGTACTAATAACAATTTATTTTTTTAAGTATTAAGAAGTTGCGGACTCTTTGTTTAGGAAATTTCATGTCCAAAAGACAGCAAATTTCAATTCCCACAAAGAGCAAGCTATTTAGGGAAAATCAAAGCGTTCAGATTTTACATCAAGTGCACCAACTACGCTGTCGAAATGACCTACAAAACCGACCCCCATAACTCGTACAAAGTCAAAGTGTTTAGATTTCACAAATGTATTTGCATGATTGCTTAGACAAATGATTAGTATAGCTGCAATCCCAAATTTTTCAGCCATTCGGCACGCTAATCGGATACAAGGCATTCAATGCAGGATGTTGGCAACTCAGTAATGTGAAATTCCGCTTGGATTAGATTTTTTTTTTTTTTTTTTGATATTTTTATTTGATAGAAGCGATAGTGTGTTTCAATACTGAGAATAACTAAATACAAGAGGTGTCAGATGAATACAATTTTTCCAGTGATCAATTTTTTGATCTGGAGATAGTTCGCACAAGATACAAATATTTTA